TACTACTACTACTACTACACCTACTCTTCCTCGCCGTCGACTGCGACTACGGCTACGGTTATTCCGAAGACTGCCAACCCACTACCCACGAACTGCTCACTTCTTCTACTTCAACTGCGCTCTCCGAAGACACGCTGCCGACTACCAACCAACGGCCCACTGCCATAACCATCACGTTTATTGGCTATGGAGGTGGCACAGCCTGGGAAGCCTTGACTGGCGAAGTGGGTGCTCGCAAATCGGCGCTCACCTGTGACGACGAATAAGTTTGCTCGCTTGGTGAACCGGCTTGTGATGAACAGTATGTATTTGTGTTTCAGGTGTCAGCCAACTGCAACGGGGGGGTTGGGGGGGGGTCCTGCTCTACAACAATAGTGATGACTCTTCGTGCAGCTGAGGCCCTGGCCGCGCTGGAGAGCGCCGAAGTCCAGGTGGCTGCGGCCCCTGTGCCGAGCGTTCAGACTTATTGGGGCGGTCTCTGGCACTGGAGGCTACCGTGAGATCGGACTGCGTCAGGAACTTTGGGTGCAATGGCCGTGTGTTCCGGCTCTGCATTTTGGGTGCAATGGCTTTTTGTTCCCATGGTGGCGAACGAACATTCCGAGGGTACGAAAACAAATGCAAAGCACAAAACAAGTGCAACAGGTCAACAAGGTCAGGACTAAGCTGACACAGGTTTCTTGTTTGACGGATGCAGAGTGAGGACATGGGGGCTTGGCGGTGATTACATCTGGAGTTGAACGGAGGGTGTACAACATTTGTGGTACCAAGAAGCCTTTCTGAAGCACATATTCATATTCCCCACGTGACCAGGGTCATTAAGCCAAGCCAGAAACTCTTGACAACCATGCAGTCTACACCTGAAAAAGAAAAATGATTGCTGCTTCAGCTGCAGCTACATCCTTTCGCATTCATTCTGACAGATCCAAGACACTTGGCGGATGTTGTTGTCAGAGATAGAGACAGACTCCTATCTACACCCAATCAGGAAGCGATGGCAACTATGGATCTGCTCGCAACTGCAACGCGCCTGATTGCCTGCTGTCGGACAGGATCGCCCGAACCTCCGCAATGCGAGCACTCATGCTTGGCTTGCACATACCTATGGTATCTTGCAAAGCACAGGACCGGAATGGTACGGTTAGTGATGGCTAGTCTACAATGGGAGGCTTGAAGAAGCAAGGACTGCATGCAACTGCCGACATCATGCGAACACGAGAACACGCCTATAGCGTCCCGACTTGGGGACTGCGATCCCGACCAGAGCAGTTTTTCCTCAACACCTCGTCACGACGCCTGAAGCCGGTATCTCTGCCCTGCTGGGAGCTCGAAGGTGGCCGGCGACCTCACGGCGATGCACTACAGTGGCAGGGATAAGAATGGGCGAGACCGTAATAGCCCAATGAGATGCTGCAAGGAATCACACAGGCTCTTGGGGCCGGACTTCGAGAATGAAAGAACTTCCAGATTATCAGAGTCCTGCGAGGCAGACGAGTGGGACTACCCGTTTGCTCCTGACAGCTTCGGACCACCAAGCCGCTTAACCACTCGGGGGGGAGCCTCCTCCGAGTGCGCTTGGACCTCGAAGCCTCGCAAGGCCTCTGCGGCTGCGAAGTGTTGTTTTTTGCGTGGCAGCGCTGTGCATGCGCCCTCCGCATGCGACATGCTGACTAGCTTGCAGGAGATCCGTCTTGCCGCATGTATGCTCAAGCAGCTGACACAAGCTCCTGAGGCGCTTGCCCACTCCTCCCTGGCTATCTCGCCAGGCGCGCTCTCCCAGTCAAACAGCCTGCACGCACAGGCAGCTGATGGGCGACCTGTGATCTGCATCACGGGCCAAGCTCCGAGCCAGGAAAGGCGCACAGAGCCACCTGCCAGGGATGTCACCTCCCAGGCTCAAGCGTGCGATGCGCGGAGAGTGTCGTCATCGTCTGCGACATGCATTCCTTTTCGGCAATCCCAGAGCTCTCCCGTCGGGAACGGCGTGCCTGCGCCAACACACCGTAGGGCACCTCGGCTCAGGTGCCGTGCTCTTGTCCCAATCCCGTTCCCCAAGGGCGCTCCAGCTTCAAGCGGCAATGGTTCCAAGACTAACGTTAGGCCGTCAGATGTTCTGTGTGCCGTCGTCTGCCCCCGACCCCGTCGCTTGAGCCATGTTTCTGCACAGCTATCGGGAGTGCAGAAAAACGACGCCCTCTTCTAGATTCTATAGGCGTCGCGACAGGAAGTGTAGCGAGGCTCCAAAAAAGCGCTTCAGGGTCCGAGGCCTGGACAGCACAGGGCTCCAACGCTTCGACCTGTCGATCCGGAACTGTGAGGGTGGCTCTAGGTGGCTCTAAAGGTTCGGGCCGCAGAGCTCGGAAGAGACGGAGAATCGCTTCTTTCTCTGGCACGCGGAAAAGTCAGTGCTTCCACGCCGTCCCTGAGACCGCGAGGCCAGAGCTGGTTAGAAGCATCGGCCAAGAGCGGCGTGAGATGTAGCACCTCCGGCGCGGTGGCTTCGAGACGGGCTGATGCCATAAGGCAGCTGGAAAGCTCCTGGGGCTTCATGCCATCCAGAGTCTCAACCAGGCGCTCCACCAGAAATGGAACCGATTGCAGCACGAGGCGTACATCCTGGAGATGGGCCGCCGCCCAGAGGCAGTTCGCCACCTCTTGAGGATTCATGTCGGCAACGCTTGGCACAGAGTGCAGGATCGCTGGCAGGGCTTTCCGCACTTCTCTGCCACTCGGGCCGTCCTTCAGTTGGGCCGAGGCCCAAAGACAGTTGGAGAGGTGCTGCGGCAGCAGCGTTCTGCAGGAGGAGGACTCCGACAGGCCTTCTGAGACAGACGACACGATCGACAGCACCTCTCTCGAGATATCCTTCAAGTTCGCTGCCGCCCAAAGGCAGTTGCTAAGCTCCTGTGTGTTCATTCGAGCTGCCTTGCCAGGAATTTCTCGCGCAAGGACTGGCACAATCTGCAGAACTTCCGGAGTTACGTCTTGTAGATACACCGAGCTCCACAAGCAATTGGCCAGATGCTGAGGGATCATCCTGTGCACAACTCGCGGCAGTCTCGTCACCAGCCGTGGCACTAAAGCCTTTCTCAGTTCATCCGGAGCATCGGCTTGACGGCACAGCTGTGCCGCGGCCCAGAGGCAGTTGGACAGGTCCTGTGGCCCCATGAAGTCTGCCAAGCTAGAGGCTTGCTCTGCCACACATCGGACACCCATCGAAAAGGCCGCGTCCTCGTCCTCCCTTAGACGCGCCAGAGCCCAGAAGCAGTTGGACAACTCCTGAGGTTTCATGCCATTGATCTTCTGGGGAAGACTTTCTAAGATCCTTGGCAGTGCCTGGAGCACCAAGGGATGACTGTCTTTGAGGCATGCCAGGGCCCAGACGCAGTTGGCCAGCTCTTGCGGCTTCATATTCCGTGAGGTCCCGCTGACCACATGCACCAACTCTCGCAGCAGCCTGGTGTTTGTGAGGCCCAGCACCGCCACGGCCCAGAGAGTGTTTGCTGCCCCGCGCGCTTCCAAGATGCCCTTCGAGATGAGTTCAAGAAGTCGAGATTGCAGTCGGAGCACGACATGGCCTTTCAAATGTTCCCTCGAAAGCCTCTTCTTTTGTTTCAGCTGGGCTAAGCGTGCAAAGGCTGCTCCAGCGTGATACTCGTTGAAGCCCTGCTGGTCCACGGCCGAGTCCAGTAGAGCAATCAGCACGGAAGCAGTCGCAGCCTTTGAGATCCTGGAAGTGAGCAGCCGCCCTGCAACGCACTCCTTGCTCCAAGCGGTCTGTGCCCGTGCCAACTGCCTTTCTTTCGCCCGTCTCTGCACCACACTCGCACATCCACGGCAAAGCTTGCCGGGCAACCGACAGGACGCTGTGCGCGACAAGGCATTCCTTGATGTCCAAAGCGAAGTGATTGTTGCCAGCAAGGATGCCTTCTGAAACAAGCCCTGCTGCGCCATCCTGGTCAACGCCACGCAGCAAGTGCCAGTCAGCCCAAGGACCACACCACGACTTCAACCCATCACAAGGGGCAGAAGAGGGAGGGGATCAAGTTGGGTTGCGGACTCATCGCAGCAAGCAACGCTCAGGCATGGGACTAGTCGAAACCAATGGATCCCTGACTGGGTGCCTCCTCGTCCTCCTCTGAAGCTCCCAGCGCTTCCTGAAGCAATGCCTGCAGTGCCATATCTCAGAACGGCTAACTCCTAGCCCTGTGGCAGGCGAAGTGGTGTGGAGGTGTACTTGGAGGTTCATGGGTAGTTATAAGTGGGGTTATAAGTCCCCTAATATGGGTTATAATTATAGCTACCCTACTTATAACCCTACTTATAGCTACCCATGAACCCTAAACCCTACAGAACCCTTAAAGGAACCCTATAACCCTACTTATAACTACCCATGAACCTCCAAGTAGTGTCAGACAGTCCGAGGATGCCCAGCCTGCCGGGTGGGCGGTGCCGGGGGCGGCGAGGGAGGCTCAGGATCCTCGCAAGGCTGGAAAAATTCAGAGCACAGCAGACTCATGTGGTTTAGGGTTTAGGGTTTAGGGTTTAGGGTTTAGGTTGGCACTGTAAGTCACGCCCTCCCTTGCACCTTGCCGTTAAAAACGGCGAAGAGTGTCAAGGTTTTGCAGCTACAGTTGCACACACTCCTGGGATCTGCACGAATCCCGACTGTTTCGTAAGAGCAAGGAACAACAAAATATCGTCGCCATCATGTCCATCATCACCACCCTCAACCAGCACCATCGCCACTACCACCACGATGTACATTGAATGCCACGTTTGTCCGCCTCCGGCGCTGCTGCTCGCGGTGGTGCCACCGAAATCGGCGGAGCACGCGACAACCTGAGAGCCACAAGGTCCCAAAGTGTCGCGAAGGCAACCTTCAGATATCAGCATTATCTGGGGCGAGGCAACAAAATCACGGGAGTGTACAAAACATGTTCAAAGGCACAGATCAACTAGAGCGATACAAGACCTGTTCTTCTGTGATCGGTATGTCAGGAAAGTTTTATCTCGTACTTGACAGATTTGACAGTCTGTGATTCCCAAGGCCACGACGAGCTGTTTGATACGGGCCGAATGGCTCCAGCAAAAATTTCGCTGTGTGGTTTGGACGTCCTGAGCCACTGGCTTCTCCGGAGACTGGAGCTCCGGCGCCTGGGCCATACAGGTTCTGAAATCATCAAAGAACAACCCGTAAATGGCCCTAAAGCTCCAAAGACCCCTCCCTGAGCTCCAGCTTCACTTCAGCTCTGCAAGAAACGATGGGCCTTCTGCTGCAAGTAGCTGGAGAAGGCTTCCTGGCGTTGAGGACAAGAACACGACCCAGCAAACTTTGAGCAGACAGTGCTCCCCGCCTTACAGAGAGGTATGTATATGTAGGTGTATGTGTAGGTATACACACTTTTGATATATTTTTATATATCAGACATCTACCCTACCTTTCTGTCGTTTACGACCTGTCTCTCTACCGATCTATATACTTATCTGTCTATCTACCTACCTATCTATCTAGCCGAATTATGCCTGCGTAGATCCCCAAACAGAGATAACCAGCGGAAACGAAAACGAGGACACAACGAGGAGACCGCCAGGGCACCGCTACGCCAGGAGGCCGGCCAGAAACACCCCGAGCCCAGCAGAAGACACCAGGACACACCAGCACCAGCAGAACCGCCACCACCAACCGTCCTCCCTGTCTTGGGATCGGATTTAGCGATCTGCGGGCAGTACCCAAGTTCTCAAGGAGTCCGGAGTCCTGGAACTTCGCTCTCCGCACATCCCGGCTTGCCACCGAGCCGATCTTGCCGGGCCTGCATGCTGACAAGACGAAAAGCAAGCAAGCTCGGGCAGCTAAGGCTCTGGGCTTTGGGTCTAGTTGGGGATTTCGGGGTTTCGGTTTAGCCTTAGGGTTTTGGGGTGCGCTACGTTTCCTTGCCGTTCTACACGGGAATCCTTCTGTTGGCAGTTTAAGGTCTCAATACTCAAGGGTCATATACGAGTGCGACCTGATGCGCCTTGGCGTGTTTCGTAGGGTTTGCTAAAGTTAACAACACCAATAATACTAACCGCAGCAATATTGATAACCATGATAACAATAATAATGCTGATGATGAGAATAATGATAGTCATCAAGAATCAAAATAACCATGGTCATGATTAATCGTAAACGAGTACCAATAATCAGAATGAAGCATACTAGGAACGGAACTCATCACAGTGCCAAAAAAAAATAGCAGCAAGAATGGCGGCGGCATTCCGGGGCCCGGGCTCGGCTGGCCCTCCAAGGTGACCCTCCTTCATGTCCTCGGGCTTTCAGGCTTTCAGAGTCCCCAAATGGGAGGGGGTACCTTGTTTTTGGGGTCCTTATAACAAGGATCCTACTATTTAGGGTATTATGTTAGGGCCCCCTATTTTCGGAAACCCCCAAATAGACCCTACATTCATAAGATCCGCGTGAGACGGGACGCTGGAAAAGGGACCCCCTACCTGGGATAGATCCCGGCACGTGTTGCCAAGACGCCGAGCTGACATGTGTGGGTTGGTCGAACTCCGGGTTCGAAAGGGGGTCGTGTGAGGCCAAATCGCGCGAGCCTACCACGATCACCAAAAATACCGATGCTCACACCATACCATGGTGATGCTTCGACGTGAATGGTTGAAATGATTCCAACTATGATAATGCAGATGAAGATGAAGGTGAAGACGAAGCCGGAGATGGAGATGCAGATGAAGATGATGATAATGAAGACGAGGATGAAGAAGTTGTTGATGATGGTGATGATGACGATGATGGTGATGATGGTGATGATGGTGATGATGACGATGATGACGATGATGATGATGATGATAGTATTGATGATGGTGATTGTGATGATGCTGAAGATGATGATGATGATGATGATGATGATGATGCGGGTGATGATGATGATGATGGTGGTGATGATGATGATGATGATGAGGATGAGGATGATGCGCATGATGATCATGATCAGACGCGTCCTAGTGACACAGATGCTAAAGCACTCATGCACATGGAATGGTCGTTCGGAGGGAGGAGGTCGCGGGTTCGCTGCTACCCTTGCCCGCTCGCCTTGTCAGGTGGCAAAGATCGGGGAAGGCCATACCTGAAGAAGCGACATTCATTCATACATACATATATATATATATATACATATATATATATATATATTATACTCTATTATATTTTACTATATAATACTATATTCTACTATATTATGAACGTGGCACGCATGGGTGCCAAGATGCCGAGCCCCGAGCACTTCCTCGCCCTGGCAATACGGGAAACAGCTTTTCGGGTTTTAGAGCTTTTTGAACACCTTGTTCTTCCGCTCAAGAGTCTTGAGTATCAGATTTAAGGATCAGAGCTTAGGGATTCAAATTTGGCTTAGGATTAGGGCGATGCACTGCAGACTGTCCAGTTCGAAACCGGAACACTGCGCCCTCAAAGCCTCGCCCTCTCGCGAAGGGTCGGCTGCATTGCCTGCAGAGCAACGCTCAGATTCAGACGCCATTCGGAAAAGGCTACGCGGATTGGCATCCTGACAGGACCAAGCACCTTCCCACCTTGTGGACTTGCAAACTCGCGTCTGCGCACTTCGGGACCATTAGCTTTTCACGTTGTTTCACAGTCACGTGTTGACGAGTTGGGCAGAAGACACTGACCCGATCCCGCTGGCCCTCAACACGGGAGGGATACCTGTCGCCCAATCTGCAAAGAAGTTGATGACCGCTCCGGCCTGCCACTGATAATACTCAAAGTTGTGGACGGATTTACGAATCAGCAAGGCCCGTCATGGCCCGTCGCCAGCACACGGTGAAGAGAAGTGAAGCATGATGGTCGTCTAGCGAACAATGACAGCAGTAGCAAGTGAATATATACACCTGCTCCAGTGGTCAATGCAAGTACGAGAAGTGGCAACAGCGCAGAACGACAAATCAAGAAAATCTATAGAAATAGAAATAGAAATAGTCTCCAGCACATGAAGAGCAAATACACTTGACCAAGCACAGGGTAATAAAGCTTCATAAAGCCAGAGTCGTCAACGATCTACCTTCAGCGACATCAGTCGCAGCACTTATCATGGCAATGCCAAGAAGCGGTCGTCATCACCATCATCGTCAGCGTCTGTTTGGCTCTGTCTTTGCGCAGCCTGAAGGCTGTCGTAGACGTCATCATCATCATGACCATCATCGTTATCATCATCAAGTCTCTAGCAATACTGCTGCAAGCTTAACAGTGCCAACGGCAATAAACAAAAAGTCACAGCAATAAGAATGTTCACAATGGTACTCATGCAAGCGGAGCAACACAAATTAGAAGACCATGCATGATTCTGCGAATCCTGATGAGACTCTGGCCATGAACATCGGTCGTTCGTGGCGGAGCACTGAGTCCACTTTCATCCCAGCCTCCTGCAGTCTTCTGGAGAAAGTCGGGGCAGCTGGCATGTCTGCCCCGCCTGAGGAGATTCCATGCCAACACTCTGCAGGAAGCATTGAGGAAAGCTCGCGTGAACTCTGCAAGCTCCACGGAGCTGAGCACTGTGGCCGGCATGATCCCATGTGCACCGGGCCATCATTTCCCGAACCACATATCCTGTTGATAAACCACGAGCAATTCAGAAGCATGTCCAGAAAAGAGCCCGTGCTAGAACACAAGAAAGGCAAACAGGCGGCCCCTCTGGGGCTCCCTGCTGCCGCGTCCGTCCATGCGCACCTTCGAGGCGGCGCGCGCCTGTCAGCACTTCACATTAGGGTTTAGGGTTTAGGGCTTAGGATTTGGGATTTAGGGTTTAGGGTTCAGGGTTTGGGGTTTAGGGTTTGGCAACATGTCAGGGACCACTCTGCGAGGTTTGAGGTGCCCACTAGGGTTCTAAAAAAACTTGAAGATGCACATGAAGGTGCCTAGAACAGGACCCAGCCACCCCAAACTCTGCACCTGCTGCGCCAGTTGCTGTGCGGCTTCGAAGCTTCGCTCCATCTGCTGGGCCATGTGGTGGCCTGCTTCGAAACACCGCGCAAGAGTAGGACCCTTCCCAGGATCACCGCCGAGTTGAGTTTTCGTGCTGGGGCCTTCGGGCACCCAGGCATCTCCCCATGCAGACCAGTGCTAGGCAGTGTTTTTTTCTTGCGAGGCACCTGCGACGTTGCTCACGAGGCCAACCAAGGTATCGAAGTGACTCGGGTCCTGCAGCGCTGCAGGTTTGCCACTGCCGCGGCGAGATTGCTGTGCCAGAGCTAATAATCAACCCTGCACTCTTGCCGAGCCTCAGCTCCACTGAGCTCAGGAGACGCCTGGCGGCCGACAACACTCACAGCGGTCGACCAGCACATGAGCTGAGCGCGAACAATGAAGACAAGCCTTGACGACAGCACACGATCAGAGACATGCAGTAGCTTCTGAGCAGCTACAGCGTCACATCTGTCAACTGTCAACTCCCGCTCGAGCAATATACTTCGCTTCAAGCAGACACAAGCTAAGACTGGCTCTGTTGGCCGTCTCTGTACAGTGCGCGGATACACCACCGGCGGCAGCACTGCCAAGAAACTCCACCATGAGACTATACACACATGCTGGAGAGTGCAACTTTACATGGGGCGTCTACTGCTAGTGCTGGAGCTAGATGCACGACGCGCATGGAGTGTCGCCACCACAGCCTGCAGGTTGACGGTTGGGAAGGAGAGGGAAGAGGTTACCGCCTTCTGTCGCAGCAGACGGCACGAAGTCTTCGCCCAGCACGGCATCATTCACGAACGGAAAAGCCTGCTCGGTCTTGCGGAAGAGCTCCGACAACAGGGATGTGTCAGGAAAGGCAGCAGAGAATCCACCCACTGTGGCCAGCTGTTCAGTGGGGCTGTAGTTCACCCACCAGTGCACAGTGCCCTGTGGAAACACAAAGGTGTCCCCCTTCTTCACATCCATTGTCACCAATTGTGTAGCATCACCCGTGTTCACCCGGTAGTAGGACACCTGGCCTGCGCCGCTGATGACTGTGTTCCATTCCGCAGCGTTTGGGTGAGTATGCGCAGACACGATGCCGCAGTAGGAAACTACGAACTTCACCAGCGATTTGCCTCCTGCAGGAGCTGACAACTGGTAGAGTCTTGAAAGAACACTGATGAGAAGAACAAGAAGAAGCAGAAGCTTCCACGAAGCAACTGACAGCAAGCAGTCCTGCCACATTGGTCAGGCCGGGCCAAAACGCAGGTGGCGGAGGCCCGCCCCCGTTGGCGGTGAATGACAGGCCTGGCATCCAGCTGAAGCAACGGAAACGCGGCACGCTGGCATGCTGGGGACTGCGCTCATTAGATGGCTTCTTCATGTTACATCAGCAGCCGCATCCCCCGGAAGCCTCCATCAAAGCTGGGCTGTGAAGATGCTGTGCCAGCCACACCCTCGCCTGATCATGTGACACGAAGCGATGTGGGCACTGCCATGCCCATTCGAGACATTCTGCAGTCTCTGCTGCAACCCGGGCACTGCGACTGGCGACCTCTCCGGCCAGCGGTCGTAGTCCTCAAAGGCGTGAGCTCAAACTTGAGCGTCTAGGAATCAAAAAAAACAAAGGAAATCAAAGGATCACAGTCCAGTCCTCCTCCGCACGGTGGCTTGGGGCATGAGACCGGGGTGTCTGCTGCCGTCAGCCCAAACTTCCCCGAGCGTAGCTCACCGGGCTGGAACATGTTGGTGCCGCTCGGATTCTTCTGGAAGCTCTCTTTCCCTGCCCGCCGGTTGCTTGAACGTGCTGCAGCACAGGCTTCAGGAGTAAGCTTGGGAAACAGGGGGCTCTCTTTCTCGTTCAGCGGCACCGTGTTCTTGCGGCCGCTAGACCGGCCGACCATGGTGTTCAGCAACGGCATGTCCTGCATCAGGGTGCCAACCAGCCCGACGCCGTCATCAAATCCCACCAGTGCCGTGTCGGGATCGTCGGTGTTGAAGAAGGCACCAACCGTAATGAGAGGCTCCTCACCCAAATTCACCCACCAATGGTAGGCCGCCTGTGCGAAGAAGAAGGAGTCACCTTCGCTGACTTCTGACAGCTCAAGCTCATTTGTGTCGGTGGTGAGCTGCCCAATGACTCCGGCTCCACGGATCACAGTGTTGATCTCCACGGAGTTAGCATGCAAATGCGGTGCCACTAAGCCACAGGGCTCGACCAGGAAGGACATGACTGTTTGGTGCTTCTTGAAACCCGCCAAACCTGGCTGGGCATTGACACATCCTCCAGGACCACGGGCCACCTGCTTCGTTCCCTCTCCAGGGACTTCACAGCTGGACTCATATAGGCCATGTGCTACCGTCACATCGGGCTTGGGCAGCAGCTGCTCTGCATCGGGACCAGCAGCACGACGCCCACCGCGGAGCTCCTGCGCTAGGATGCCGTACAACGAGCCTGAGTAGTGCGCACACTTCGAAAGCAGGTCCCTCAAGATCCCTCATCAGGGCGGTCTTAACCCAAGCCGGGTAGCAAAGTAAAGCCAGCACAGCGGTCTTCATGGGCACCAGAGTCAAGGCAAGCCGACCAGAGCTGCAGCGATTCGCGGTGCAGGGACTCGAGCCGATGTTGGCACAGGCGTCCAAGCTCCACCACTCGAAGCAATTGATTGAGAAGCTTCTTAAAAAGCGGGAGCTCTCCACCTCGCCGTCCGGCCGCGGAGCTCGCATGGCCGGCCTGAGCGTCGAGCTTGCAAATGGTGGAACTCAACAACAACATGATCCTCCTGCACCAACTCCTGTTCAACGTCTGCATGTTTCCCGAAGGAGTGGGGTGGCCTGACAACCGCGGTCGGACTCGGCTGCCTGCCCAGGCGGGAAGCACATGTGCTGAATGAATTCACGACCTCCTCTCTAAAAAAAAGCTGACTAACCCAACAGTTGTAACGACTGGGTGTCCGGGCTCCGCGTAGCCCATCCCCGGTCCTAGCACCATCAGATGCCGCAGCTGCTTGCTTTGGCTTTGGCGTCATGCAGATGCCGCCACTTAGCACCAGGCCGGGAGCTTTGGGACTGGAGGATGGACTGTGGCGCAGCTTGGCTGGCCTTGCATCAGCACGGACCCTGCAAAGGGACCCAAACAGACGCAGCAGCGCACCCTTCGCATTCAAACAACCTTGCAGTGTGTCAAACAGGTGACTTCGATTCTGGTATCACACTGGGCTGCAAACGACGACTCCACGGCTCGTTTTGCCTAAGGGCCACGTGGCAGCTGGGGCAGGATGCACCAACCAAAACAGCACCTGGCTTTGGGACAGACCGCGACACTCAAATGGGGGAAAGGCCAGTTGTGCCGCCCACATGGCATCGGGCAGCGCTTCGGCTTCCGCCTTGCTCGCAGTGAGTACCTACTTGTCCTTAAAATGTCGCTCATTCGAAGAATCTGGGTGTACCTAACCGCCTGGACTTTACCTCCACGAGCATCTGCTGTCAAAGCCGAGGTTGTTCCTCGCCGCTACCGCTGGCTCTGTGCACCCTCTGAGATGCGGGCCACAGGGTCACCGGACATAACCTCTCGAACCTCGGGTCAGCGAGAACATCGGAGTTCAGCTTACTACGAAGCTTCCGCCGTGGAAGGGCTGGGAGACCCACCCATTTTTGCAGCTCTGCAGCCTCCGTGCCGAATTCGGCCTGTTGCATCCTGCACGCACCACACCCTTCGCAAAAAAAATTGCAATCACCTACCGATCCTGTCCGTGTTTGCTTGTTCTTGTTACTTAAGTTACTTTTTATTGTGGCAAGATGTGACATCGGCAGGAGTAGGAGAGTAGGAGCATCGCCACGTTCTGCCAGGCAGTCTGAGCTCGGGGCCCACCCTTCTGAAGACCAAAGGCCCATGAAAGTTGCACCTCGGACTCGACAGTGGAATCCTATGAGAAGAGAGATGCCACACTAAGCTGACTGAGAAACCCTGGGTTTCTATTGGGGTTCTGGATATGAATCCTACTACTTTTGGGGGTTCTATGAACTGGGTTTCTTAATCAGGTTCCTACATTAGGGATACACAATTTCGAATTGCATGTCTTCGGCAACGGTGTAAGAACCCCAACACTGAGAGCACCTGACTGCGGATTCGTGCTTGATCGCCTCCGACGGCTTCGTCGCAGATGTCACATCGCATTCAGCTGGGTGCTAGGCGTTGACGTCGCTAAAGGGACCGGAAAGGTCATCGTCCTTGCAACGTGCTTCGCCAGCACTGCTGGCAACACACACCATTGGAGATGACGGTAGGGTCGCATGTTGGCGAAGTCCTGAAGCTTTTCTGGCATGGTCGGCTTGCCGCCTGTCAGACATCGGCCCTTTCATCACCCGACACGAGTCTATGCCTATGCCCTACCCTGAGTCTATCAAAGAGGCCATGGCCCAGTTGCCTAGACTTTCGGCAGCAGTCCATCGCCGCCTCTTTGCCACCTGAAACCGTGATTGCCGGTAGATCGACCGCGTGTCAACGGCATGGAAAGCCTTCAGATACTGGCCTTTCGTTCTTCTTTAGCACGGAAGATGCTTGACAGCAAGTTCGACACCTGCGAACAAGGATTTGGCCGGTTTGATCTTGGCAAGCCAGACGTGCAGCATCAGTAACAGCTTGACTAGGCAAACCCTTGCACGAAAAGATGAACCGCACATTTGCCGCCAACGGTCATTGACTTCCGTTTCACAATTTTAGCTCTCCCTGTCTTCAGCCACTCAAGACGGCCTCCAAGTGCTCCATGTCACTCAGCAGATTGTCGATAAACCATTCCTGGCTTTGGTGGATAGACAGTGAGGACAGTGCTCTTGAATGCTGTTTGCCAAATCCAGCTCAGTCCTGTCTGCCCTTGACCTTCCTCTGTGCTCTCTCCACGCGCCTCAGCAAATTCACTGAACTACTATGAGCCTAATGCATGGGTTTAGGGGTTTAAGGTTTAGGGTTTAGGGCTTAGGGTTTAGGTTAGGGTTTATGTTGGGTTTAGGGTTTAGGGTTTATGTTGGGTTTAGGGTTTAGGGTTTAGGGTGCGAGTCTACTGGTGCATTCTTGGTTCAATCGGTTCAAGTGCACTGTCGAGGAGAGAGAATGCACGCAACAAAACAAAACAGCGATGCTGGATGCGGCGTGGCCGCTTGTGGAGTCGGTCCTGCTCTTGGCGCAGCATCGCCTTTGACTCTGGTTGTCGACATGGCTCGTTCTCCCAGTGGGTCTAGCGCCTAGAGTCTAGAGCACCGGCCATTCAAAAGCACTACCGGGACGTCTTCGTTAGTGATCACTAACCCATGCAACCTCTCGAAGAAATCGGAGTTTCCCATGCTCGGCCTGGCCTGCTCCTCTTCAAACTCACTCAGCAAAGATCGCATGTCCTGGGGCCAAGCACGTTTCTTGAATGGATCTCCTGATCGCACTGCTGACTACTTGCAAGATGTCTCAACATCCTTGGCCCTTGCCTGAGTAAACGAATTTCCGAAAAGTCGAGCCTGACAGCTGCGCTCCAAGCGCTCGCAGGTCACCTGCATGAGATAGGACATTGCCATGCAAACGAAAACAGGTGCGGTACAACGCGCCGGCTCGTGAACGGAGACAGCAGCGCAACCCTACTTGCAAGGTTGTGGCTGTTGAAACTGCAGCAGGACGACGTCAAGAACAACCAGCAGCAGCTCGCCGACGAGACTTGACAAAGGACGGATCTGGAATCCTCTATCGACTTCATGCCAAAGGCCTTGAGATCCTCCAACGGCATGGAGTTCAAAAGTCCCGCCTGCGCAGGGCAACAATAGCAAACTAAAGCTTGCAGCATGTTTCCCGACCTCGTCCATCGCTTGCGGCATGGCAGCTGCCGTGGCGCGTTGGCCCAGGAAACTTCGATACGGGATGTGAAAATGCATCAGGACTTCCTGACATCATGCATTCTATGATTTTGTGGCTAGTGTTTCGGTAATCAGGCACAAATTCTTTGTGTGTCAGAGTCAACGTTGTTGGAATGTTCCCTGAGCCAACATGCAGAGCCCAAACCTCGGTAACAGTTCTGCTATGCCACTCAGCAGTGACTCAGCAGCAGCGAGTCCAACAAACAACATGGACAACTGTTTTTTTGCAAAAGCCTTCTGGTACTGCCAAACAAAAGCGCGGCGCTCACTCGTTTTCATTTGATGAGGCTGCAAAAAGTGGGTGCGAGGCTTACGAGTCCAAGGCATGGGCAACCCAAGAGAAGCGCGGTGTTTTGAAAGCTGCAGCTAGCGACAGATCTTGAGAATACACGGCCAGTTCAAATTCAAAAAATAAATTACGACAAGCGCTTTCTGCAGCAGTCTGAGTTGCTCCTACTGAGCAAAAGTGTTGTGCTCTTTTTGCTTGCTGAGGTTGCAGAAAGTTTGCAAGGCATGCGAGCACTTGGTTCGGCAAGCTGGAGTTTGAACGCTTCAAATTTAAGTCTACTTTCTCGACTCCATTTTTTTTGTCACTGTTTGCCACAAGGATCACAACATCGCAAGATATGGCGCTCAAGAAGACTTTATTACGTTTCTTTGGCGTCTCCAATGTTCACTTAGGTGCCAAGCTTGAGAAGATTCGGTCCAAACAGGCCAAAAAAAGTGAGAAACGGCCAAGTTGACTTGAGGTGGCCGTTGTGTGACTCTGCACTTGAGCCAAAAACCTGGGAAACGTCCAAGTGAAATCGTGCGGTCGCCACGCAAAGTGCAACGACTTCCGAAATCTCAATGAAACTCGTGATGAGAAGGCAGATGCTGAACGAAGAGCAAACATGTGCGTGTTCGCGCGAAACACAAACTCACAACTGCTTGTATTTCTTGACTGCGGGGTGCACCCTTTCTGGTGCACCTTCCAGCACGTGCTTTTACGTGGGGTATGCCCTCGTGCTCGATGTCGCGGACTTCCCTTCCTGGTATGAGACACGTGAGCACCGTGGGCCACAGGGGCTCAGTGTACACACGGACTTCATTAGCAGGATGGATTTCTCCAGTGGTTCGGCGTCTTTGCATGCTGCCCGTTCCTCGCTAACCATACGGCCAGTTGGGGTGGATTGCCTGCCAATGTTCCCAAGAGATGCATGGGTTGTCCATGTTGTTCAAGACGGTTGTCTTGAGACCATCCCTGTGTTTGAGCTTACGGATCATATTGCTGACGCGGTTTGTAAGCTTTGCAGGCCCAAGATTAACGCTGAGAACGAGTCGAGTTCTGGGTCTGGATCCAGTGTTGAGGCGGGAACTCTTACTTGTGGGGCTCCTGCTAGTTCCGAGAGTCCAGGCTAGAGCTGAGTCCAGTGGAACGAAGGCGAAGAAGAGAGCAAGTTCCAATTCGACACGTTTCCGGATGGAGCGTTTGCCAAAAGTTGCCGCCCTGTGAAGTGATTGTTACTGACGTCCTGTCTCATTCTCTCGGGACCCTAAAGTTCCAGCGGAGCAGAGATTGCTGGATTTGAGTTGAGCCTTGTTGACCTTCGGCGAAGATGAGAGCCGGGTCATTGAATTTGGATGAGTCACTCTTTTCATTGCAGGGCTTGTTTGCTTGTCACGCTGACTGAGCTGAGATTTGTGTCTGTGGAAGTGAGGAGTTAGAAAGTCAGGGCTGCTTGAGTGAGGGCAAATCCAGGGATAATGGAGCTCCCGGACGGCGTGGCCGAGCAGGATGCCCGGGTTTACATCCCCTGTCCTCGAGATCACCTTGGAAGCAGAGTTGACGA